ACGTTTGCCACTAGGCAGACGAGCTCCTTTTTTTATCATCGAGTTGCTGTTATTACCATGTAGCAATGTTAACAAATAAAACGATTGACGAATCTTGAATGTGGGTGGGCTTGAGATTAGACTCATGATGTTCTGCTCAGTAAGCAAAACCGGTTGCTCTACGGCCACAGAGCCCCTCATATCACATTATAGCGTTACTCAACTTTTTATGACTATTCAGACCCGGCACCGACGACAACGAAAAGTTTTACGAAATACACGATAAACAAGCGATTTTACCATAAATTTTTAATATGAAAGGACCTGGGACCGCGTTTTTCTGCTCAGTAAGCAAGCCAATGCAAGCGACGATCTTTGAAATCCTTAAACTAAAAGCTATGAAAGAGGCCTTCATTAAGATCCATTTTCACGCGACGTTAAATGACCGACGTGACGATTGTTTAAGACCTGGTTGAACAAGCTATTCAAATGAAATTACGTTCTCGAATTTTACTTGGCATGTAATGAACAACAGAAATACGCGATAATTCATATTTTCAGCGGTTGGTGGTTAATTTTAAATTTACTAACGGTACTGCCTACGACTACGACAGCGACTACGACAACGACAACAGCGAATTTGTAACTTACTATTTGTCTAGGATAAACACCTTTGCCCGGCACCTCCACTGGTTCTTCATGTCCGCTATCTGTCACTGTTTGCAAAATATCGGGACTGGAAATAGAATCAAAACGAAAAACAGTCCGTCGAGTGTTCTCTCAGATACATAACTTTCAAACCCTTAATATGCAGTACTCATAATTCCAAAGCGCTTGATTGTACTCAACAATAAGGGCCTACAAATTGTTTCATTGTCACATAACAGAAAGGGAACTTCACATCCAAAGGTTGGGAATTTATTATTCGAGAACACTAGTGCTCCTGGCGGTAGAAGGCAGGCTTTTGCTTTTAGTTAACATAGACAGCATGTTTTGATGGTGTGAATGCTCACATGTTTCAATTGAAAGCTCGTGTGAAACACATCGCTTGCTGAATTGAAAAAATTGACAAATTTAGCTGATTCCTTTGCAGTTCCACTTCTGTTCTGTGCACAGAACCAACAGATGAAACTGGTGATCTAAAATTAGGCAATGCCAGAAGAAAAGATTGGGTAGGAATGTGTTGATGTGATACTCGCTTTGTTGGAAGCCGAGTAGTCCTCTGAACTTCCACGAGAAATCACTGAGATGTTGGATAAAAGGATTGGCTATGCAGCAAGGTTCGTTTTGGCAAACGGTACGCTAAGTGATGGGTTTGAGCGAAGAAAAAACAGGTGACAAACGAATCTTGAATGTGGAGGGGCATGAGATGAAGGTCATGATGTTCTGCTCAGTAAGCAAAAACGGTCGCTCTAAGGCCACCGAGCCCTGCATATCACATCACACCACTTATGATCGAGTTGTTGTAGCCATTCAATCATTGCAACGACGAAACGACAATAGTTTTCACAAAATACGATGAGCAATCAATGTCACTATGAAACTCTTTAATATGATGGAGCCTGGGTTTGATCCAACGATTTTCTGTTCAGTAAGCACAAACGGCTTTCTGAGACAGTCGAGCCCTTCATATCAGAACACACCACTTATGATTGATTTAATGCTATAACCGTTCAAACCGGTGCCCCAAGCATCGGCGACCAACGATCTTTCTAATCCAGAGACATGACGCTACGAAAGGCATTTATTCCTTCCCTAAGTTCTACTTTTACGCGGTGTTCATTATTTCGGTTAGGTGGCTACATAAGGGGGGAATAAAATCTACAAAGCCTTCATATTTTTGTTGATTTTGATAATTAATTTGAATGTTTTTCAATTACGCATTATATGTATAGTGGTGCGGATTCAAACACCAAGGGGGGCGACTCTATCTGCGATGCAGGAAAGTTTTTGATTTGCTGTGGTTAGCTGCGCACACGCTGACTAGATAGAAAGAAGATTGATGACGATTCTGACGATTTCCTACCAAAAGATGATGGTCGATGCAAGTAAATGCGAAAAATAATAGAAGTTTTTTCGAAGATTCATTCGCTAGTGTGAGATTTTCGGAGCATCTAGAATTGAGATTTAGATGTGTCGCCCCCCTTGATCTAGAAATGAACTTTGCGGAACATGTTTTCCGGAATTTCGAATTGTAGCAAAATGAGCAAAAGCTAAACTCACCAAATAAATCACGCTCGATTGTGGCCATCTCGCCGGGAACAAACGGAAATCAATAACTACGATGAAACGTTTACATGAATGTTTTCAACTGGAACAAACCCACCATGATAAATGTCCTATAGTGCTGACCCACAATGTGCCACCTTTGCACTCACTTGATTAAAAAAAGTAGAAGGGTCTGTGCCTAGGGGCACGAATGGAAGCTTGACGTAGGACCGCTAATGGACGAAACAAATGTGAAGAGCATTTAGTTCTTTTAATTGACCGATCATCTATTATTTTAACTCTTTCCGTTTTTGAATTGGTGGCGGTTGTTTGTCAAATGGTAGCTCTGGAAAGGACCGTTTGTTGTTTTTCCTGGTGTCCATCGAAAGAGTTGTTGGAATTAGAGGGTACGGAACGAATAGGTTCTAATCGCGGTTGCTTCGGTCTCCTATCAAGAAAAATATTATTTATATTACTATTCAATAAATTGCTTCAACAATCTACATACACAACAGTATGCTCGCTTAGGACGGCTATCATATAGCTGACGGAAAATTATTGATTATTTTTTGCTGGTTAGTGCTATTAAATTCTGAATGATAATATTATTACTTACACATTTGTTCCGTCCACTAGCGGCCCTGTGTCAAGCTTTTGTTGGTGGCCCTAGGCACAGACCCTTCTACTTTTTTTTAAATAGAAGTTCTCAATAATTAGGGTAGAGAACTACTTCGGCCTAATCGCCCATTTTGGGCCTATCGAGCAGAAAACTTCAAATTAATCCATGATTTCAGAGCTAACAAGTCAATTATGCATTTGGTACGATACTTTAGTTAATAAGCTACCGAACGAAGTCAATGCGAACGCGTGGTATGAAGGTTTGCACCCATTATTCCCAAAAACAAAAGAAACGCTCCGACCGAATCAATTTTTATCTTCATCCGATAGGCCGAAGTAAATTAAATGGCGTTCCAATTGCGTTTCAATGCGTTAGGCCGAGTTTAAAATCCGTAGGCCGAGTTTGGCGTCAAGAAGCAGTGTTGGACTTTTGACAATATCTTAACGATTGGTTTCTCGTTTCCAAGTCTTACGGTACGTACGGAAAGGTAAATAAAGCCGTACGTACGGAAAGGTGATGGAAGCCATCAGTAATAAAAACATTCCGTTCGGTGCTAAACTGCTATAGATTAAGAAAGACTAAGTGCGGGTGGTGCTTAATAGGCCGGAAATGGGGTAGTTAACCCTACTGGTTTCACTTCGAATATTGACTCTATCCAACGCGGAGTGTAAACACAGAAGCACTTACTGTACCAATTGGAATTTTCAGAGAATGCTACAGTGCATAATCACGATGGTGTTTCAATATGATGCCTGTGTTTGGGAAGCAATCACTTTTTATTTGTGTACTTTGGAAAATGCTTGACATTACCAATTTTTCAATAGTTTCTTGGTAAAAATCATCGGTCGGAAGCATTGATGCTGATGCGTAGAAATGTTTTTGATCGATTAAAGATAAAATTATTAAAATTGGTCCAGGGACAGCTGAGTTATTAATGTTCAAAATCTTTCATAATTTCGTTACATGTTCCATTCTCGGTCTTCACAAAGTGTTCCCCCATATAGAAATCACAGAAAACGACCTGTAACCCGTCCAACATATACAAACTGTATTCATTCTGCATTAGGCATTAAACCGGACCATGGTGAACATATCAAGCTGAACATTGCATTAGGTCTTAAGTATCATTGATCGATTCTCTTCATCGAATTTTTCTTTCGTTTATAACTTGAGCGTATAGCCGTTTTTTGTTGTGTTTGTCGTATTAAATGCGAGATAAAAGCTTATTTTATCTATCAGTGTTCTGAAAATACGGGAATGTGGCCGTGGGGATACAAAGAGAAAGTCAACGAATGAGAATCTGTCAATGTTACTTAGGACCTAATGCAATGTTCAGCTTGATATACGAAAATGCGAACTCGTCGCCTCGCCAAATTCCCCTCTGGTCCGATGCAACGACGAGTGTAACGTCACAAAAACAGCGGAAGAACGAAAGAGTCAACAATCTGTACCACCGGACCCGCTCTCCACGACTCTCTGGAGAAACTTTCCACACCTGGATGGAAAAATGCTCCAGGCAAAAGTTTACATTTTAAAACTAGGATTGGTTACCCGTAAATTCCCTACTGTTCGTATTTTTATTTTAAAATCATCTGAGTCTTATTCATCCAAATGTGGTTTGAAGTGAGTGAGAGTGATAGATAATGTAAACTATGTCAATTGGATCCGATTTGCTTTGAATTCTGGAGCTCACGAACTGCATTACCGACCCGATTACCGAAATTACCGGAATCGAATGAACAGGTTGAATTGAGAGGACGGTCCCAGCGTAGTGATTAACATCCATACCTCTCAAGCCAAAGTCACAAGTTCAAATCTCATCCCCGGATAAGTCACGAATGACCCAAGCCATAGCTTTCTCTATCTACCTTTCCCACGAACTTTGTACCACATTAGGATGTGAAGGACTTTTTAGATTTGATTTTAAACGATCGGCAGGGAATTTACCGCTAAACAACTTTAATAGGACTGGAAGATCGAACAGTGAATGTAAAAAGGATGAAATATGATTGCCCCTTAAAACCAACTTGATGGGATTCTTCCTGAGGTGGCATTAGCAGCTATTATTCAGCTGGAATTTAAGCTACAATCAGTTTAAAAATCACCGTCACACGCACACCTAGCTATTTTAATTATATTTTAAAAATCCAATTCCCCCTTATGTTCATCATAAATTCTATTTTCCATTTACCAGTTTGCGGCGTCAACGGTCGATCGAATCGGATTGTCGGAGGGGAGGAAACCAACGCTCACGAGTACCCCTGGCTGGCGGCTCTTTTCCGTCAGGGAAAACTGTATTGCGGAGCATCCGTTCTGTCCCGGAATTACCTGGTCACCGCTGCCCATTGTGTCAACTCCTTCGAACCGACTGAAATCAGGGTAATATCTTCGTCCTCACAGCGTTAACCCACTAATTATGGTCGTTTCTTCTCTCTCTCTCTTTCTATGTCTGGGTTGAAGGTCTACCTCGGAGGACACAACATTGCCAAGGACTACACGGAACTGCGTCGCATCAAGCGAATCATCGATCACGAAGAGTTTGACATCTTCACCTTCAACAACGATATTGCTCTGCTGGAGCTGGACAAACCACTGCGGTATGGACCTACGATTCAACCTGCTTGCCTGCCGGACGGAAGTAAGGATCAAACGACTGTCAACTCGAAAACATTTTTTTTTTGTTGATGAAATATTTGCTATTGTAGGCGAGCTTGACTTCACCGGATCTCTGGGTATCGTTGCCGGTTGGGGACGAGTCGAGGAGAGGCGACCACCATCAAAGACACTGCGATCGGTTGTGGTTCCGATCTGGTCCCATGAGCAGTGCCTGGAAGCCGGGTACGGTAGTAAGAAGATTTCCGACAACATGATGTGCGCCGGGTACCATGATGGAAAGAAAGATGCTTGTCAGGTAAGTATACTGGTATCTAGAGAAACGAGCACGTGGTTTCATAATGTTTTTTTTTTTTCACAACAGGGTGACAGTGGTGGTCCAATGCACAAGATGGGCAACGCCGGCAGCATGGAGGTAATCGGAGTCGTGTCCTGGGGCCGTGGCTGTGCTCGGCCCAATCTACCTGGCATCTACACCAGGATCGTCAACTACTTGCCGTGGATTCACGAGAAGCTCGGTGGAGAATGTATGTGTGTGCCAAAAAATGTCGCTGCCAGAAGTAACGAGTGATGCAGATGAAATTTGATCTCAACTGGATAGGAAAGGACCTGCAACGGGTGAAGGCAGTCTGAAAAAGGGTTATTGAGCGGAATTATTTATATATTTATTCTAGTCATCTCAGTTAGTTGTAGTAAACGCCATTAGATGTAGGAAGAATGAAAAAAAATGGAGCTAGTGTTGTTGCCAAAAATATTATGAGTATAAATAAAGTTTTTCAATGCCAACGATGGCGTAATTGTTTGCTTCCATCTGCAGTCAAAACAACTTTCAGTATTGTTCCGCAATATTTCACCCTTGTTTGTAGCGTTATCCAAAGTGAGGCAGTGGTTTACGATGGGCAATTTTTATTCATACCGTATCATCGGAAACTGCTATAATGATCGATATTTTATGCAAATATATGGCTGGGTGAAGTCTTTTCCGGTGAACCAGTTTGATAAACTTTCCCCACTGAGTAACCGTGGCTGGCGGTGATATAGTCTTCTGAAAACAAATGTAGGTATGAATCGTTTCTTGCTGAATATTAAAAACAGCAGAAGGTCGCCAACCAGCAGCGCCATTGCAACTTTTCTCTCAATAGAGTTTCCTACAACTGGTTAAGTGTGTGACAGTTTTCAACATTGCGAGAATCTTTTTGGAAAGCGTTTTTTTTTTATTTGCTGGAGACTGCTTGCCTGGATTCAATTAACATTGAAGTGGCCCCTCCTTGCCATCATTTCCTTCGATGAATAATTTTCCAAGTCTCATTCCTATGTTAGAATCTTTTATTTTTTTAGTTTACTATAATGATTGTGATGCATTTGCTCTTTTTGAAACTTGGCTCTTTTCAGATATCGAACTTCTTTTTTATGATTTTAACATTAACATTTTAACATGGAGGAGGGTTTGGGGATCAAAAAGTATCATTATCTATAGAAGAAATTTTATTCTATAGAGTGAATCTTCCACAATTCCCAGGTATTGAAATTGTCGCATGTCAGGCTATTTTAAAGGTAAGACAACTTTAGATATCTGTTCAGTTCTTCCTACTCCACTGTTGATTATGGGAGCTTTTAATTCCCACGGTACAGGCTGGGTGAACTGTATGATGACTTTAATACGATCTCTGTGACAACTCCAATATGAAAATTCTTCACAATGGAGAAGTAACACGTTTGGCTGGTCCATCCTCGAATGGCAGTAGATTAGACTACATACTTTACTCTAATTCATTATCGTTGGATTGCACGTGGCATGTTATCCAAGATCGCTACGGTAGTACCGGAATATCGATTGGGCAAAGTTCAAGACTGTGATAGATGAAACCCTATCGTCGGTAGAAGGGCTTCCACCATTTGAGGAATATAGCATCCTCTCTAATCTGATCTTGGACAGCGTGCTTCAAGCTCAAACTCGGCCGGTTCCAGAAACGTTTTTCCGTAGGAGAACTCCTTGCCTTGTGGGACCCACCATTTTTTTTTTATCAAAAAGTCCGACGCGTTTAAGCTTTTCTGGCAACGTGGAACACCCGTGCATTTTGAAGCGTACTCGGCTCTTGAACGCGAACTCAAGAGCCTCATCAAAGCCAAGAAACGCGGATATTGGTGGCAATTCGTGGACGGATTATCGCACGAAACGTCGATGAATACGCTTTGCGCGAAGGATGCGTAACCGGTCTACAAACAACGAGAGCGAGGAGTACTCGAATCGTTGGATTCTCAAGTTCGCGCGAAAAGTATGTTCTGATTCCGTGCCGGCACGGATGATTCCTTGTGAAACGATGAATTCGGTAGACGATATCAGTCAGCTTTTTTCAATGCTGGAGCTCTCACTCGCACTCCTTTCGTGTGGTAATTCGGCTCCGGGAGCTGATAGGATCAAGTTCAACTTGTTGAAGAACCTCCCAGACATTGCACGTTGAACTTGTTTAGTCAGCTCCTGGAGCTCAATATTGTTCCGGATGATTGAAGGCGGGTAAGAGTTATTAAAGTCATTAAAAAGCCTATTAAACCCGCGTTAGATTACAACTCGTACCGGCCCATCGCGATGTTGTCGTGCATTCGAAAATTGTTCGCTTGGAAAAAATCTCGATGAATATTTCAAATGGTCCTATCTGCTTTGATCGATTTTCTTCATCAACATTCTTTTATGATAATAACTGCTATGCAAACAGATTTCGCGCTAACTTTACCACATAGGGGAAATGACGGCTTCGGCATGACAGACTATTTTCGGCAACCCAAATTGAAACACTATTTTCACTGGATTTTCTTACGAAAACACTTCGCTGAATGCATGCAAACGATTCTTTATGCTTTCAGCTTCAATTTGACTATATTTTTACCACTGAGAAAAAGCAATCTGGCAGGGTTTTCTTGAAATGAAACACACGCACTACAAATTGTAGCTGATTTCGAGTTGCCGATAATACACTGAAACAAATCGACATGTACCGTTTATTGGATCCATCTTATAACATAGCAATGTCAGGAGATTTATTCATTCTATGTGATGATTGATAGATTCCAATGGATTATCACTTAAAAACTATGACTGCGATATGGAATGATTTCTATCGTAATTTCACATACTTAGTACTTGATAATACTTTGCTTCGAACGTGGTTAGCGATAGGTAATAAGTATATGAATATTGTCTGATATATTTCATGGTGAAAAACTGTTGATATGTCATGGGTGGGAACAGATATCTAGAAACTAATGGAAAATCATATAAATTTGAACTATGAGAAAACTCAGTAAAATATACCTGTTTTCATGAAGAATATTGCTCACTAAAAGATATATCTTATAAGATAATCATGTATATTTTATTGGAGTTGCTTTTAACGATTTTTGACGTTTGTTGATATGTCGTGTGTAAATAGACATGTAGAAACTATTGGACTGTCATTTAACTTTGCAGTATAGGAAAACATGTATATCTCATTGGAATAGCTTCCTTTGATTTTTGAGGTTTGAATATTGTAAAAAGATCTATCCCAATGCCTTTTAAGAAATCCAACAGCAAACATTTGTTTTGGTATGTTTTCTGGGATGAACATCGCTCCCAATAAAATACATCTTACATAATTGTTCTTTATAAATTATTGAAACAATTTTCAACTATGTTATCGTACACTCATTAGAATGATTAGTCGAACTAAATATTGCTAACAACAATGATACTGTAATAAATAATCATTGTTTGTTATTGTTTCATAAGATAAGGGTTTCCGGAAAAGAATGTTTTGAGATTGAAAAAAAAATGATTCTACTGCAATATTTATTTGCTAAGATTCTAATTGTAAGCCTTCTACACGGCTAATTCAGATTCCAGCACTAGTACTCGAACTTCATGAACCAGTTCCATGAACTCATATAATGTAGTCGTTGTTTTATTGCACACAGGAGCATTAATAATGATTTGAATACCCGACACCACTGAAACGGAGCATATATTGGTCAGTGCTATTTTTCTTCACTCTAGCAAAACGAGCATAACGTTGCTCTATATTCCATGTTGGGAGAGCTGTTATTACTTCATGCTAATTGAACGAGCTCAATATTGAAGTCAGCCGTGGCCCAATGAAATCGAGCGCAGACACGAAAAGCATCACAGCTCAACAGTTCTGGATCGAATCCCAAATCAGCTACAATAAAAAAAACACAACTGTGAAAGCTCCCACTGCCTGGTGTTAATTTTTCGATTTATTTTTAGAAATCGATTAAATATATGTGTCAAAAGAATAAGTAAATTTCATGTGATTTTCACATAAACTTTACTTCGATTGATTTATGACACATATATTATATTGTGGTGAAAAGTAAAGCTTATGCTTATGGGTTTCAAATCCATTTCAGTTAATTATTATAATTTGACCGATTTTCATTTATCATATGGCGATCATATAAAAGTTTTCAAATTATCAGCATTGTCAATGTATCAGATATTCATATAGAATTTACCTGACACATTTTCAATCATATCATTTTCAAAGGATTATCTTATAGCGCAAAATTATTAGACTTCCACATAACAGGAATATGTCAAATTGGTTCAGTGTAGAACAGCAGATTTACATGCAGTTCAAATGGAACGGTTGCCGAAGAAAAACTGGTTGCCGACAATACTCGCTCTCACTAGAGAAGATTGGAGCTTTGTAAAAGCGTTTCAAAACAGTTTTTGACAATTCTTTCGACTGAAATTGTTAGAGCAGCTGGCAGCAAAATATTGTAAACAAACCAATACTGCATATGTGTGCGTTCCATAGAGAAAAAGCCTATAGAAAGAAGGTCACTGCTTAGGTTGCCGAGAATACGTAAATTCCCCTAGTTTGATAACGAAGGTTCTTATCTAGCGTCCAAAACGTCAAATGCAACAGGGAAAGATTTTGAAACTGAGTTATTAACGAAAGAGAAAGTCAATGAAGAGAATCGATCAATTCAGATAGGACCTTTTGGAATGTTTATCTAGAAATGGGTTGAGATGAACCACCTACTCTCAGTTACTCAATTTGGTTTCCGTAGGGGTAAGGGAACGAACGACTGTCTCGCGTTGCTTTCTACAGAAATTCAATTGGATTTTGCTAAAAAAGAGCAAATGGCTACTGTGATCTTGGATAGCAAGGGGGCTTTTGATTCAGTTTCATTTGGAGTCCGTTCAGACAAACTCGACGTCTGTAATCTTTCTCCATTAATCAATAGCTGTTTGTACAATTTGCCGTCAGAGAAACATATGAGCTTTTCTCATGGAAACTCTACAGCTTATCGATTTTGCTACATGGGCTCATGTTTAGACCCCCTTTTGTAAAACTTCTACGTCAGACTTAGTGACAGCTGCACGTTGAGACAACTTGCAGATGACGGCATAGTGTCTGTCACAGGGCCCAAAGGGATCGACCAACTTGTCTACGTGCTAGGTATCAAATTCTCATCGGAGCAAAACGGAGTTGGTTGTTTTTTTTTTTTTTTTTTTTTTTTTTTTCTAGGAAGCATAGCCCAGCACATCCGAAGCTTCAACTTTTGGGTAAACCGATCACTCATTCTATGTCCTTCAAATATCTCGGAGTCTGGTTCGAT